GTCGGTTGGTGGTGGTGGTGATGGGGAGGGGGGGGGGGGTGACTGCATCCTTCTTCTTCGCTGCGTCCGCCAACTTGGCCGACAATTGCATTTGCCGGTCAGTGCCGACAAGGGTTGTAGGGTGGTGGCGGCGGAGTGAGTGGCGACCACCACCGACAGTTGAGCACTTTTGATAAGGTTCTTGCCTTGGCGCCGCATTTTGGTACTTACAACACTGAATCCACATCAAGTTTAATTCAGACCACGCCACGCGGTTGCGGATTGACCATTAGCCGGATTCGATTTGGAGTGACTCAACAGCACGTGCCTTTACGAGCTTGACAAATCGAAAGTGTGAATCGATGGCCTAGGTTTGTTGAGCAGATTGAGAGACACACACACTAGCTAGTGATCAACATGGTACGCACAAACAGTGATCGAGAAGCTAGCCGGCCATGAACGGGTTGGTGGAAGGATCGACGGTTCGGGTCGCGCCGTCGCCAGCTAGCTGACCCGAGAAAGCTAGCGAAAGATCAGATGCAAAGCAACCATTTTCTCCGGCGCCCCTTTCTGACTGTTGTTTCGGGCTCGTTATTTAAACTTGGAATATGAGACACACTCGGAAGTTCAAAAGCCCCAGAACTTTTGTACCAACTTAAAGGAGACGAAGCAGTTTTTCTTCCGTTTTGGAACAGTCACCCTGACGGCTCTTGCATCAAGGGCATCTCTAAAAGTCTGAAACCTCTTCATTATTATGTTTCTTTATTTACAAGTTTTGCAGTGATTATATTTATTCACCTAGTAGATTTCCTACAAATTTAATGTCTCAAAAAAGTATTTTGCCAATTCTTCCAAACATTTCCTCAAACAACTAAAACAAATTCACGACATTTCAAAACAAACGTAGACAATTCAAATGCACCACATCATAATTCAACCACGAGCATAAATAAAGTTAATCAAATCCATGGAACTTCTAAAACATAATGTAATTTATGCCAAAAGGTACCAACACCAATACATGGTGGACCAAAAGCCATCGTAGTGCACATGGCCTCATGCACTCGCGCCATCATCATAGGCACCACCATGAAATCCGGGGCATCATCATTCAGTTGTTCATTCACTACAAAAGCAAAGAAAGAACATAGCAATCAATATCACATCATGCATCAATCTCTTGAGCAATTGCAAAACAAAAACGCAAAAAAAAGAACTTTTATTACCTTGTGGGCATATCCGCGAGCACGTTGGTCTCGCTCCTTGTCTCATCTGAATTCAGGTCGTCGTCGGCTGCCAAAGGTGGAGGGGTGGCGGCGCGACTGCAGGAGGCCTCGGGGTAGTCGACGGCATCGCTCGAGCCTGAGCGGGAGGGGGTGGCATTGGGGGAACCACATCCTTCTTCACTGCAATTGCCATGTGGTCCGCCCCCTTGGTCGGCGGCCAACGGTCCCATTTGCCTATCGGCGCTGACAAGGGTTGTAGGGTGGAGGCGGCGGAGCGAGTGATGACCACCGCCGAGAGCTCTCGCTAAGGTTCATGCATTGGCGCTGCATTTTTGTACATGAAGCACCGAATCCGCGACCTGTGTTGGGTTTTCAGCAGTGCCGAGGGTGGCCAGAGGTGTGAAGGGGGTGGGGCTTTCCATTCCATCGATCATCGGGGTTTGGGAGCGAATGTTGCGGACGAGCGAGAAGCAACGCGGATTAGCTCTATTTGTCGTAGAATGACCGTGACTAGACTATTTTTTATGAATAACTATTTGTTTATTGCAAATAGCATACACAACGCATACATGCAAAATTCACTGAAAAGACCAAGGAACACATGTGTCCCCATACAATTGTACAAAAGCCCTCCAAAGAAACAAAGTAAAAAATTCAGTCATATGAGACCCTTACATCCATCGTCATCTTCGCTCGTTGCCGACCACCATCGTCGCTGAAGCACCACTGGAGATAGGAAAAACGAACAACCCAACAAACCAGATCCGCCGAAGCACCATAGTTGAAGCAATATTGTGAACCGATTGAGCAGCCCGTCGTAGAACGACAAGGCTGAACCTTTGTAGCACGTCGGCTGGGGAGCAAGTGAGCGAAAATTTTAGGGAGAAAAGTCATATTTAAGGAAGTACACTTTACGAGAGATCTGGTGCTTAATCTCCTAATCAATTTTATCCCCTCTTAAATACAACGTTTAAGGGATCCGCTAAAGAGAGCCCTTAGAGAGCAGTTCCATGGTTAGAAAATACACCACTTCTGGTAATTGTACCCATCAGTTCTCAATATTATGTATCATAAACATGTCACAATCGCGTAAGTCCTACGCGCTGCACCACAAGATGTGACCTAATTGGGTCGTGGCTTGCAGCATGTAACACTTTATAGTGCAACACCTCAAATCGGTCTAGTTAATAGAATGGTCACATGAGTTCCGTTGAATTTACATCAGGATGAAAAAAAATCTCGGCCAACTTGTGGTACCTTGCACTTATCCATTGTGATGTAGCAGTCAACAAGTACTTTGAGACACTCCTCAAAGGGTTGATCTTAACAAGGTACAACCTCACGAAGCGTAACAAACATGGGAGCAAGCAATGTTGCTTTTGTTCTTGTGACGGGACTATTGAACATCCATCCTTGGCATGCCTGTTCGTTCGCGCTAATTGTGCGATAATTCATTAGCTTGTAAGTTTATATCCATTGTCTTGTGTTTCAAAATTTGTTTGGCAACTGGTCGCAGGGATACATGTTAAGCTCATAGTTGTTATCCTATTATGAATGGTTATGTTGGTTGATGTGCTTTGGTAGGAATGATGTTGGTTGTGGGTCCTCCAGTACTATGAATGGCTATGCACACGACCTAAATCTGGCGATTCACGCACGATGGATGAAATCCGGCCGGACATACGTCTGATGGAAAGAGCACCGGCCGCTGGATTTTCTGCCGTGCATTGGGCACAAGGATCGTGCATGGAGCAGTTTCAATTCTGAAGTCGAGGAATGAGCTTTGTCTTTTCTATTAATTAATAAGAACATAGTTATCCGGTTAAGTAGTTAAAAGAACACTTGTTGAGAATGGAAAAACAAACACACCCACAACTAGGGATGAAAATGGAGTGGAAAGTTTCTGCTTTTCCGGAGGAAAAATGAAAACGGAGAGGAAATATGAAAATGGAAACGAAAATTTGCAAAACGGAAACGGAAATTTGCAAGACGGAAACGGAAATAGAATTTTTTATGCGGAAACGGAAACAAAAATGGAACTGTGTTTTCCGGTGAAACAGACATGGAAAACGGAACTTTTCGTTTCCGTAAATATGGAATTTCCGTTTCTACTATAGGTCTATGGCTACTTTGTGGCCCAACTATCAAACAATACACAATAACACGATGAGTAGAAAGAGCAGAATGGGTAATTCGAGGACCAACTTTTACTACCACACACGTACTCAACTATACCCTATACAGAATTGTCATGTACTACTACAATACTACCCTATGTTGCCAACACAACCATATTATTTTGTAGCCATGTTAACAATTTCATAAATTTGTTTGTTTTTGTCTATTTCTCTATGATTCAAGGTGGTTTTAAGTTCCAGTCAATATACAGTTTTGTTTCCGTGTCCGCTCTGTATTCGCTCCGTGTCTGTGTCCGGTAGTATTTGTTTCATTATTCGTTTTCGGGGTTTCTGTATTCGTTTCCGCTTCTGCGAAAAAATATGAAAACAAATATGGTAGCACCCAGTTTCGTCCATTTCCGCGCCGTTTTCATCCCTACCCACAACCACCTCGGGCGAGCGATCGACCGATGGTTTCAGCTGGATGATGATGGGCGCTTCTCTGCTCTTCTCGACGCCCCAAGGTCCTATCTATAATATACACACCGCCGGCTAGCCGCTGGCCACTCCCACCGTCGCAACAGGCACGCGGAGAGCACTTAGATAGATCATAGTAGATAGTACACAAGTTTCTCTCCCCATGACCCCACCTTTCCACACCACGCCATGCGGTTGAGGATTGATGAGCAGATAGACACACACACACATACTAGCCAGCGATCGACATGGTACGCACGTACAGTGATCTAGAAGCTAGCCGGCCATGAACGGGTTGGTGGAAGGGATGGACGGTTCGGGTCGCGCCGTCGCCGGCTGGCTGTCCGGAGAAAGCTAGCTAGAGATCAGATGCAAAGCAACCATGTTCTGGCGCGACTTTCTGACTGGTGTTTCCGGCTCGGCTGTTTGACATTCGCTGGCAAAAGCGTGCGTAAAATTTTTGTGATGCCACCAGGGAAAAAAAATACTCCCTCCGCAAAAAAAAAAATAAGAGTATTTAGATCACTACTTTTGTGAAAACGTTCTTATATTTTTTTACAGAGCGAGTATCCGGCTACATGGAGCATTCATTGTCGCGAAAGATCAAGGCGGTGTAGAGATATAATAGAGTGCTCCTCAGCAAATGGTTATTTAAACTTGGAATATGAGACACACTCACAAGTCCAAAAGCGCCGGGACTTGCACTTTTGGAGCAGCTTAACAGAGACGAAGCAATTTTTCTTCCGTTTTGGAACAGTCACCTGAGGCTCTTACATCAAGGGCATCTCTAGCAGATACATTGTTCTAAAAGTCCGAAACCTCTTCATTGTTCTGTTTTTCTATATACAAGTTTTACAGCGATTAAATGTTTATTCATCTAGTACATTTCCTACAAACTTAATCTCTCAAAAGAATGTATTTTGCCAATTCTTCCAAACATTTGCATTGAAACAAATTCAGGACATTTCAAAACAAACATGGAAAATTCAAATGCACCACATCATAATTCAACTATGACTTTACGAGCATAAATAAAGTTCATCACATCCATCGAACATCTAAACATAACCATAAGTTGTGCTAAAAAGGCACCGAATGAACAAGTTCATTCCAAAATACCACCACATGTGGTGGACCAAAAGACATCATAGTTCACATGGGCCTCATGCACTCGCACCATCACGGTCGGCACCACCATGAAATCCACTACATCATCATTCAATTGCGCATTGCAAAAGCAAAGAAAGAACCTAGCAATCAATATCACACCATGCATCAATCTCTTGAGCAATTGCAAAACACAAACAAACGAAAAAGAATATTTATTACCTTGCGAGCATATCCTCGAGCATGCCGGCCTCGCTCCTCGTATTGTTTGAATTTGGGTCATTTTCAGCTGCCAGAGATGGGGCGACTACATCTTTCTTCTTCACCGCGTCCGCCAACTTGGCCGACGGTCCCATTTGCTGGTCAGTGCCAACAAGGGTCGTAGGGTGGTTGCGGCGGAGCGAGTGGCGACCACCACCGACGGTTGAGCGCTCTCGATAAGGTTCTTCCTTGGCGCCGCATTTTGGTACTTACAGCATCGAATCCATGGCCGGTGTCGGGTCTCTGGCGGTGGCAAGGGGTGCAATGGCGGTGGTGCTTCCAATTCCACCGTTTATTGGGGCCAGGGATGGCCATCGGCGGGGTTGACGGGAAGGTTGTGGACGAGGAGGAAGTAGTGCGGCTTTGCCTTATTTTTGGTGAGAATGACCACTGCTGGACTAAATTTGAGCAAGTGGAGGAGAGTTTTAGGGGGAAAAGTCATATTCGAGGAAGTAAACTTTGTTAGGGATCTGATGCTTAATCCCCTAAATGATTTTTTTCTCTTAAATACAACTTTTAAGGATCCACTAAAGATAGCCCTTAGAGAGCAGATCCATGGTTAGAAAATACACCAGTTTGTGAATTGTACCCATGAATTCTCCATATTATGCATCATAAACATGTCATAATCGTGTAAGTCCTACACGTGGCAAGACAAGATGTGGGCTTTAGATGTGACCTAATTGGGCCGTTGCTTGCAGCATGAAACACTTTATTTTGCAACACCACAAATCGATCTAGTTAGTACAATGGTCGGATGAATTCCGTTGAACTTACATCAGGATAAAGAAAATATGGCCAGCTCGATGTACCTTGCACTTGTCCATTGTGATTTACTAGTCAACAGTTAAGTACTTTGAGACACTCCTAAAAGGGTTGAACTTAATATGGTACAACCTCGTGAAGCGTAACTAACATGGCAACATGGAATATTGCTTTTGTTCTTGTGCTGAGACAATTAAACATCCATCCTTAGTGTATTTTTTCGTTCGCACCAATTCATTAGCTTGTAAGTTGTATATCCATCATCAAGTGTTTCGTAATTTGTTTGGCAACAGGTTGCAGGGATACATGTTAAGCTCGGTGCTCTTATCCTACTGTCAATGACTATGTTGGTTGATGTGGTTTTGTAGGAATGATGTTATTTGGACAAAAAGTATATATTTTTTCACTGTGAAATATTAATTTACGTATGAATTGTCTTTGTACTTGATTCCCACGACAGTGATCGGAGCACCGTGAGTCTTTACCATGGCGTATACCAAGGTGGGTTGTCAACGAGTTTTTTACCCAAGATGGATGTTATGTGGTATTTGGATCGGTCCTCTAGTTTTTTATTAGGTATGTCTTTTTGGCAAACATTGCCTTAAACTTCTCATTTGTATCTTTAAACTGAGGCACACACTTTTTCTTTTCTATTATTTAAGAAGAAGGCCAATTAGTTAAAAGAAAACTTGTTGAGAAACGGAACAACAAACAACAACCACTATACTAATGGCATTGCCAACATAAAGAAACCCATTATCCATCGCTGAGAAGATTTTATCTATCATACCCTTCCAGACTTCATCATCATCATTCTATCGCCTCATTACTCATTTACTCCGACATCACCATTGACTAACCATGACTCATCGATCAGCATAAAGAAAACCTTCAGTCCCCCCATCCCCACCCAACCCCACAAATATACCGCAACTGGCTACTAAAAATTTGTTGAGGAAGCTCCAGTTTCAACGACTTTACTTGTTGAAGAGTGAAGCATGGGATAAGCCTTGCATTAGACTACACCTCATCAGCTATCATGCTTGCTGCCTATGTCACCCTCTATGGCACAACAACTATGGCTTCAACACATTTTTGTATCGATGAGCCAGCTTGCGGTACAACCTGCTCAATGATGTGCTCATTGGGAGTCGTCATAGCCACACGAATCGCACCACCGCCACCCTTCGTTGACCATGCCACTACCCTCATTTCTGCTCTAGGAGCATAAAGGCCCATCCACCATCACCATCTCGCTAGCTGGCCGATGTGGAACCTCACGTTACAGGTAAACACGGAGCCCCACCAACCACTGCTTATGGCAGACTGACCTCCCCGTAGCTCACTATAGCCATCGTCTTCGCTGCACTAGCATCCCCTCAAAATGCAAGACACCACGACTAGAACCCGCCAAATCCTAAGTAGGGCCGATGCATCACCTGCTATTCTACAGCATCCCCCTGAGCCATCGCTCGAGCTCCACCCGTTCGTGCTAGATCTCAGCATGATCTTTTGGTGCATCCTAAAACATCGACGCCGCTCCACATGGACTGGAGAACATGCTTCCACGACCAAGTCTCAGACTCCATTGCTTCATGTGGATTGCACACACCTCCACGACCAAGCCACGGTGTTGCTGCCCTTCCTTTTCTTGTTGTTGATTGGATCAAGACCGCCACACATCCTAGCATCGCATCGCCTTTGGCCGAGGACCTTCTATGATAACAACAAAAAGGAAAATAGAGGGAAGAGGATGGCGAGAATGTTTTAGGGTTTGTCTATGAGCCACCCATGAGAGCGGCTTGGGGGCGTCCTCCAATGTTCTGAGACCAGAATATAAACTTCTTGTTTGGGTTGTGTGTATTGATTCTGTACAGGTATGGAGTAACAAAATTTGGTGTTAGCTCCCGTGTTTCATGGAGCCTGAATTTTGGGATATTCAAAAAATTTATTTTTAAGGTGCTAAAAAATCTTTAAAAAATTATACACATACCTATAGATGTATACTACTTGTCTGTAAAGTTTCATGGTGAAAAGCATTATTATGCGAGCTACCCACAAAATAATCATTTGATTTTTGTGTGTAGCTCACACAAAAACGGATTTCATCATGAAATTTTACCCACACATGGTATACATCTCTCAGTACATGTGTTTTTTCCAGAATTTATTGAAGCTTACAAAGTTGGTTTTCGAATTTTTGAAAATTCCATGTTCCATGGAATCCGGGAGCCACAAATCCTCGCTCCAGGGAGTAAACTCTTTATTTAGTTATTTATTTATTGATTGATAAAGAGAGATCCCTCTCTGATTTCCATTAATACAAACTAGAGTGTCTTTTACAACTACCAGAACTAACAGGAAATATAACAAATGATGCATGATCTAGAGGGCAAGATGAGAACACTACTCATCGGCTCCCAAGGATCACAAGGAGGAAAAGCCAGCAAGCTAACGCTACCCCCAACGAACCGACAGCCTCCAACTTCATCTCCTCGGAGTCTACAAGCCAGATCTCTAGGAGATGATATAAATATAGGTTTTTAAACACAAAAAATGAGACCATAATAGAGCAGTAACAATAAGCGAAGTCTTCTACATCGGCATGGTTAAGGGAAAATACTTTTGTAATCACCCAACCATGATCCTGTTAGTCCCAAAACTCATCCATGCGTCACCTTGAAGACCTCATTGGAAATTAGCTCAACCATTCTTTTGCCCCACTTCATTGTTCTTTATGGGTTTATCTGCAAAAAAATCCAATCGTGTAACCATTTGACAATTAGACTGACATGAGTACAAGGGTCAGTCACCTTGTTATTATCAAAGACAATGCTATTTCTCAATTTCCAAACAGTCCATAAAATAGCAGAATGACCAACCATAACAAAAAAATCAATCTTATTAAATTTCAGCCCATGATTAAACATATCATGCACATTATCGGGTATGTCATCCAGGTTAAAAGCACATTTCATGATATGCCAAAGCAATTTGGAAACAGGAGGCTGCGAAGACATGTGATTAATGGATTCATCCTTCCCACAATAAGGACAATTTTCTTTATGTCCAGTGCATCCTTTTCTAGCCAAATTATGCTTGGTTAAAATATTGTTTCTAAGAACCAGCCACATGAAGGACTTAAGAGAGTAGACCCCACTCTTAGTTAGTGTCCACCTAATAGAATCGTTTTGGTCAGTCAGGACCACATCATCATAAATCTCTTTAACGCGGTTCCATCAATCTACTGAACTGATAAATCCCAAACGTTTGGGATTTGACCATGGAAAATGGAAAGTTTTTATGATAATTGTAGTGACTTGAGGATGACACGTTTAGTTGACACGCATGACAATTTTGTGTCAAAAATTACATTGAGCATGGAGTTGCCATGCTTGCCAACTAAACTTGCCATCCTCTCGTCACTAAAATTGTCATTGAAAATGTTTGATTTGCCATGGTCAAATCCCAGGCCTTCGGTATTTATCTATATCCTAAATCTAAGGAGTCTTCAGAAAGAGTCCTTCTAAACTAGACTTGATCAAGCCCCTTACCAAAAAAATAAGTAAATCAGCAACAAACTTATTCTTATAAAGGCAAATAGTATTATATAATTTTGGAAAATTGGTTTTAAGAGGTTTATCATCTATCCACCAATCCTCCCAAAATCTCACATTTTTCACATTACGAGCTTAAATTACACAAGGAGAAGAAATGTTCTTTGTGTTTTAAAATCTCGGCCCAAAACTGAGAACCACCTTCTCTAGGTTTATCCCAGCTAGACATTTCCCTCTCTCATACTTCTACTTATTTAAGAAGAATAGGAGTAAACTCTTTATGTCATATCATGTCGATCATGGGTTTAGAATCAATAAATTTATTTATTAAAAAAGGTGTGTGACATCACTGGGAACCAAGTTTGTCCCGGGAAAGATAAGCCGGCCGAAACTTCAGCTACAAAGGAGCTCCGGGTGCTGCATGTCGACACTACCCACCAGGATTCAAGTTTTTCTTTATTATCTTGAAAGAAAAGGGGGTTCGAGTGCTTCAGTTCCATCCGTTTCCCTCCTCCTGCTCTGTTCACGTACTAATAAATACTTCAGAGCAACTCTAATGAGGCGATTCATTTCGTTCACCCACATCCGTTTGGGTCGGCGCGAACAAAAGTGGCCGCCCAACGCGCCGACCCTAATTCAAATCGTGTCCGTCTGGCGTCCGCGCCGATCCATTTTCGGCCTAAAATTGTGTCTGAAATGCGTCAGCGCGGACGCGCCGCGCGTCTCCTCGTCGTCCGCCACGTCCCCACCTGGCGGCCACCCAACCGCCACCGGTCGTCTTATTTATGACAACCACAGACAGCGGGCCCACGCGTCAGCCAGTGGAAGCGTCCTTTTTTAACCACGCGTGCGGCGGGGTCGGCTTCATCCACTTTTCCCGTCCACATCTGCCCTCCCCCCCC